ACAGATACCAATGCTGAAATGACACAGATGTTAGAACTATCTGACAAAGACCTTAAAGCAGCTATTGTAATGCTCCAGCAACCAATCACGAGTAATCTTGAAACCCGTGGAATAATAGAAAGTCTGAGCAAAGAGATAAAAGCTATGAAGTAGACTGTTGGAAAATTTAGAACTGAAAAATAAAAGACCTGAAATAAGAACTCACTGGATGGGCTCAATGCAGCATGGAGATAAAAGTTAGTGAACTTGTAGATAAATCCTTGTAAAAATTAGCTAATCTGAACAAGAAAAGACAATTTAAAAAAACAACAACAGAGCCCCAGGAAATTAGAGGACAATAACTAAAGGTCTGCCATTTGTGTCATGGAAGTCCCAGAAAGGCAGGAGAAAGAGTGCATACTTTAATAAAATAATAGCTGAAAACTTTGGAGACATAAATCTATCAATTCAAACAGCAGAGTGGACCACATCTAGAATAATCTCAAAGAAAAATGTGCTAAAAACAAGAGACAAAGAAAACAATCTTGAAAGAACTAAGAGAAAAATGGCATATTATCTATAAGGCTATGAATTTCTCACTAAATATGACAGGGGAGAGAAAGAAGTGGCACATCATTTTTAAAGCACTTATGGAAAAGAAATGTCAACACAGAATTCTATGTCCAGTGAATATATCCTTCCAGATGAAAGTGAAATTCAGGGAACCTCATATAAAGGAAAACTAAGATCATTCATTAGCAGCTGACTTTGTCTAAGTTTATAGCTAAAGAGGGTTCTTTAGTCAAAAGGGAAATGATGCCCCCAAAAACAGGATGAAGAAAGAGCAAAGGAAATGGTAGATATCTGGGCAAATATAAAACACTATATTCCTCTTGAGTTCTTTGTTAAAAGCAAAAATTCTAACATTTTCTATGGGGTTTTCAATGTATGCAAATATAACAGATAAAAGTAAAAAAAGAAGGGAGGGCAAAAATACCTATATGGTGGTAAGGTTTCTATAGTCCACTAAAAGTGGTAAAATGTTGATTCTAAATTGTCAGTGAAGTATGTATATTGCAATCCCCAGAGCAAGCACTAAAAAGGAAAAAAAAGATACGAAGAGATATACAAGAGACCAATCAAAATGAAGTGCTAAGAAATATTCAAATAGCTCAAAAGAAGGCTGAATACAGGAAACAGAGAAATGAAAATAGAATAAATAGAAAACAAAAAATTATAGGCACAAATCTCAGCATAACATAATAAATAATGACATTAAACTCAAATTGTCTAAACATGTAACTTAGAAGACAGAGACTATGAGAATGGATAAAAATATGAAGCAACTACATGCTAACAAAATCTCACTTGAAATATAGCAGTAGCTAGGTTAAAGTGAAAGAATTGATGAGGTTTAAGTGTAAAGCTGGCCAGAGAAGGCCACAGGGTCACCACCCCACTCCCACCAAAGCAACTGCCCTCTGAACTCCTTTCTGGGATTCCTCCATTTTATGCGCAGCAAATATTCAGGCATAGGTTAAGTGCTGACATGGCTTCTGCCCACACGTAATGAGCAGTCTTTTAAATTCTTTTATTATTTTGAAGAGAATTCAGCTGCTACAGAAAAAAATTGGAAAATACTGCCCTCAGATGTCCCAAGGGAGGTGACTCGGGTTCTGGCATAGATCTCTTTGGAAAGGCAAGGGGCCAGCCATTCCCAGCCTAAGGGCACTTCAATGGAGTCAGCCTGCATTTGGAAACAAAGTTGTGGCGGTCAACTCACTGGCTACAGTTCTTCCTCCATTTAGTCAGACACAAACGGAGACTCATAAAGCTGAAAGCGACCTTATGAATCTCCCTGCCCAGGCCTTCATTTCACAGATGAGGAGACTGTGGTCTAGATGTGGGAAGTGACTGGCCCAAGGGCGTATACCTTGCTGAGGCAAAAATGGAATTGGAGCCCAGTTTCCTGGGTCCCAGCACAGTGCTCTCTCTACATTACACATAAAACAAGTATTGATTGGACAGCTATATACATGAGGCAATGCGATGACTGTTTCTGTCGTGGTGTCATTTGAACTTCAGTTGGAAATATAGACATTAAGTAATTACACAAATAACTAAGATGGAAATGAGTGTTAAGTTACTAAGGATAAAGGAGAAATGTGAATACGTTGCCTTAAGAAAATCTTCAAGATATAATCCACCACCAGTAGCACCACATTCATAGTGATTTCAATGGGAAAGTTTCACCTTGGAAAGTTGATGTATTATCATATGTGATCTTTCAGTGATTAAGTGAAATTTCATGGTAAGTCTGCAACCTAGACAGTGCTTTTGTCTTACATCTGAAGCACAATCTTAGATAGGTACATGGAGGAAATGTCACATTAGGATACTGAGAAACTAGAAAAAAGATGGGCACTTAAAGTTATGATTCTAGCCATGGGCACGTTGCTTTGTTGGACCAGGATAAAAGAGCCATTGTGAGGTGAATCCAGCCAACTATGACGGACAGACTGCAGGGGAGGTAGCCCTGGAGCCACAAAGGCTTGAAACAGGCTCCAGCAAACATAATGACGTACTTCACACAGCAGGAACTCTCTGCTAAGTAGACCAGGTAGTTCTGAAGACCAGGAAATGATTGCATCTAGGGTTCTATGTTTCAAAAGGACACGATGGAACTTGAACAGATAAAACTTCTCATTTTATCTCAGAATCTGACAGGTATAACACTTTCAATGGGGAAAATTCTGGGAAAATTGACAAGTTATTCTTTTGGAAGATGTTTCCCCCACAACTGGCACTCTCATGGTGGAAGCACGTAAAGTGTCTCTGGTTTCCCCCTACACTTTCAAGGGATAAACGCAATCATGAAATCTGAGACTTGAGGTAAAACTGGTCATTATGTTGCAGATAGCAAATTACTACATAGGAGAGTTTAATAAACCATACTCAAGTCTGTAGCCCAAGAACTGATCATTCTATTATAATAGGAAGTCTGGCTCTTAACTATATCAACAACAAAAAATACAGAGTGGGGTGAGGGGGACTGGATAAAAGAAGGTGAAGAGATTAGCCAAAGAACATATATGCATAGCCCATGGATACAGACAAGTGTGATGATGGCCAGAGGGGAGGGGGCGGGGGCTGGGTGGCAGTGGGTAAAGGAGGGGAATGGGGGACTTCTGTAATAGTTTTGGCAATAAAAAGTTTAATCAAATTCAAAAAAATAGTATACAATTCTGTATGAAGTATAGAGCCTTTTGGAAGAAAAAAAAGTAAAGTCATTTAGAAGGAGGCTGAGATAACTACTAGAAGAGATGTTCTAGAAGCTTCTAAACTACATTGCAAAGTGAGTTAACTGAACAAATAGTTTGCAACAGAAAAACAGAAGTAACTGTCAGAGATTGTCACCACCGTGCTTAGGATTCAGGACACAGAAGTACCAAACTGGTGTCTGACCACCTGCCAGGGCCCCCTGCTTATCATTTCAAAAACTAAAGATTTTTAAACATGTTTTATGTATTCAGCTTAAAACTGACCTTTATACCAGCCAATCCTTATGGGACAGAAGTAATTTATCATCATCACAACAGGCTCTAACAATTGAAAGCAGCAGCTACCACAAAGGCTTACGGAAATCTCCCTTCTTGAAATTTATTAATAATAGAATGGATTAGTTCACATTTCCTCAGACCCTAAGTAACCTCAGAAGTACCCTGTTAGTTCAGTAATTCTGTGAGTCAATGGGAAGATGACATGATAAATCTTGGGTTCTCTGTTTCAATGCCTTCATAGTGAAGAAGGGACAAAATGAAATATGCAGATACACAGATAAAGCTTCTAATTCTATCTCAGGACTTGATAAAAATAATACTTGTTTTTATATATTATCACTGCTGCATCCAGAGCACACGGTACAGAGTCTGGCAGATAGTGGTTCCTCAAAAATGTTTTTATGAATAAATACACAATCTCACTATTAAGACAAAAATTCTTCAAATCTAAAAATACATGCCCTGAAAATCAGTATGTTGTTATTTATATTGACATGCAAGTAAGAAAGGACATATCAAACATCCATTTTTAAAATTTTTCTCTTGGTATGGTTTGGTGAAATCAGATAAGTGAGATTAATGCATAGCCTTTATTGTCTACTAGTTATGTGATCTTGGGCAAATGACTTGATTGCCTGTCTTAAGTATCTATAGCCTCATATCTAAAACAAGGCAAATAATATCATCCTCAGTGTGGTGGTAAGGATTAAATGTGTTCATACTGTCCCCAAATGAAGACCTGTGAGAGAGTATGAGAAAACCTCTCATATTCTCAGACCTCAAACATGGATTCTGAATAGAGGTTTATGTCATCCATGTCACTTCCTAAGTTTCTTCCCCAAGAAACCAGTCCTCCACTCATTGCAGCGAGAATTCTCTACTTTGGCTGCAGATTGGAACCCTAGGAGAGCTTTCCAGACAGAGGACCTGTTCACTGTGACTGTCCATTGGTGGGTGGGCAGACAGAGCTGTCTGGTAGGGTCCTCTACCTGACCTTGAGTTGCTGGGCCCTGTGTCCTCCAGGAGGCCAGGTACTTGGGGACAGAGAGGCACCAAAAAGGAAGCACTCAGAACACAGGGAGCGTGATGTTTCAGAGGCGAGTGAAAGGCAGGAACAGCACAGAGTATACAGGGAAGAATGTCAACGCCAATTAGGAGCACATGACCTCTTCCTCAGAGAAACATCCTTAATTTAACCAGTAAATGAAAGACCATTTGGAAGTAACTTTTACAAGCTGTGATATGACAGAAACTTCAAGTGAATATATACCTAAGCTTTCCAAAAAAACAGATCTGAAATTGGCTGGTTAATTTCATTTAAACCATAACATATGGATAGACCTAAATGCTGCTGAAAGCCTCCATTTTAAAAGCAACACATGTAATTTTTTTCTATGTAAGTTTAACTTTTTTTTAAAAAAAAAAAATCTTAAGTGATGTAATCTGTAGGTCAATACTCACCAAGCTGAGCAAAAGCATTTCTCTTCAACAGGGCACCAACTAAGTAGAAGCTGTTCTCATCTTTACCTCCTGAATAAGCCATATGCTACTTTAGTTCTTCAAGGATGTTGCAACCTTTCAGGACTCAGTTTCTCCATCTGTTAAGAAAAATAAGAAAGGAATGGATCTAGTGAAAACACTATGCTTCACTTCTGAAAACAGAAATCATTGTTAGGCCAGGTGTTTTATTAACAAATATGCATTCTCTTTTTATATGTGTTACCTGAAAAGGTTTAAAAATAACACAATGACTTAATGCAGACTTAAAGGAAAATTACCTAGATACCCCTTTCACCCCCAAACAGTACAAATCACATTTCCTCCTCCTTTTCTTTTAATCACTTTCCTGAAACTCCATCTCCCAGATGCCACAAACCTTTCTCAATTAGCCAAGGCCTGCCTTCAGATAGAATAAATCTACTGACAGGCTGGGAGCCCTCTTCCTAAGTATGTGGTTGCTGGAATCACATAAGATGATCACAGTATTGTATCAACAGCTTACCCAGGCCCCAGCGCTGCATGCTAAATCACCCTTGCTTAAGCCCATAGCTAGGAGTGGAAGATGTCCAGAAGGCTGGTTCATTTCATATAACATCACCACATTGGAGTTGATTTGGGAAAGATGGGTGTGGAGCAGCACTAAAGGAAAACATTATACCCTCTGTGGAAATTCCAGGCCTTTCTGCTGCTTTCAGGTACACTGCACTCATTATATTCAGGGGATAAACCTACACAGTGTAAAAGGCAATATTCTAGGTAATGAAGCCACAAACCAATAAAATCAGCATCAGATTGTGCCTCTCCCATTTGTTATTCTCATTTTCATATACAGCATCTTCTAAATTGAACCAGTACCCTTCAAACCATTACATTAATTGGGGCAAAAAACGATGCTGTTTAAGGACCAAAAGTCATTTTTATTTTAAAAAACAACTTGTAATAGAAATATCTCTTTCAATATACAAAGCAGCAAAAAGTCAGTCTTGAACTCTTGGAATAGAAGGTCAAACTACTTCAAAAAAACTAGATAAATATATATGGTGTTCAAATGTGACAAATAACTTGAGAGCATTTGCAAGCATTTAAGGTATCAACTTATGAAGAATAAAAGATTTGATATAATTTTAGAAGATTTGTCTTTTGTTTCAAAATTTTGGTTACTGTCATAATAAAAAAATGTTGGCAAAATGAGGTTTAATTTTCAATTGCTATATAATTTATTGACCCTTTTCTACCTGCCAGTATGCATGAAACTGCGGCTCAAGTTCAGGCAAAATATGTAACTTCCCTATGGCTCAATTTTCTTTTAAGCAAAATGAGAAAATTGTCAAGTAATAAGTAAAACTGATAAAGCACTTTACAAATATAAAAAAGCTATTTTAAAAGATTTTTGGGGAAATAAAATGTATAAGCAGGATAAATATTTCTAGATAAAAAATTCTCATTTTAAAACCACCTTTTAATTTTCTAAGTCTCCTATATTATCAGATGTATTTTACAACAGACACAATCCTTACAGAAATATTTTTAATAAACACTCTTGAATTGGGGAATTGTCTCAGATTGGAGACCAAAAGAGACATGATGACTAAAAGCACCATGGGATCCTGAATAGAATCCTGGAAATGAAAAAGAACTTAAGTGGAAAAACTGGTGAAATCCGAATAAAGTCCAGAACTTAGTGGTTTTGTATCACTGTTCATTTTCTGGTCTTGATAAGTGTACCACTGTTAATACAAGATTGAGGAAGCTGAGTAATGGGTACATGGGAACTCTGTGTACCAATTTTGCAACTTTTCTGCAAATCTAAAATTAGTTCCAAATAAATAAGTTAAAAAACACTCTTTAAGAAAATCAATTGTTAGATGTTTTATTAAGAACCTAAATCTAAAATAGTTTAATACAATGCATGTGAAATGATTCCACTAGATGGCACCCTATTTTCTTCAGACACCTCTTTTCACATGTCTGTCATCATCACATGATGTAAATTCTTCTTGAGCTTATTTCATAGTTGCAATAGATTCTGCGATTAACTCATTGCATAAAACAATGTTTGCTTTATTTTCTTGAATGTCCTCTTCCAGGATTTAAGCTTCATTATCTTTCCAGAAATTTAAGATAACATTTAGAAAGTCTGTCATTCAACCCACTTATTGAGCCCTTACTTTGCGCCACATGATCTCTACATCTGAGGCAACCCATTCTCTTTAGTGATGGCCAACATTAAAAACTTCCCATCCTCCTGCACACTTGAAAATTGCATTAGATTCAGAGCAAGGAGCAAAAAATGTTTTCCCATTGACCTTTACTGCGCAAAGGAAGGGCTAGCTATTCAATAACTTCTAGATTCATTTTTTATGTCTAAGCTAAAAACCTAAGTTCATTTGAAAGTTAAATCCAAATATATACGTCTACCAGTTCCAGTACAGGCTGGTTTCTGCGCTCCAAACTTATTTATCTGCAACATTTCCTGCCCATCAGTAACCTCCCTGTAAAACATTCCTGTCATCCATGCTCCTCAACTTGCCACAGCTCTCTGTTAAGAAGCACTAAGAAACCCAAGACAATGAGTTTCATGCCATCCTGAAGTTTCATTTTAGCAAAGATATTTCAAACATTGCTAATGTGACTTTTTTAAAAAAAGGATTAAACCTGTTTGGGGTTGCTTATATGTCAAAACGAAAATAGAGTCATGCCATTTACTAACTTATTCCCAAGTTCTAAACTTACATAAGACAAGAAAACATTCACTTTCTGAATTTTACAGAGTAAGCACTTAGTATACTTCAGAAAGAATTGGAAACAATGATTCTAAATGAGAAAGTAAATACTTGTAACACCTGGCCCTAGCCAAAACCAAAAGACATAGAAACAGGGTTACCCTCAACTTGGACTAAAGTACCCTGCAAAAGACCTCAGGCAATTCTTAAATCAAATATCCATATAAATCTCCCTCTGCATTTATTTCTCATTTACCAACAAAACCTATAAAGGATAGATTATAATAACCAAATTGGATCTTAAAAATAATTTCCTTTTAAATACAATTTTCTCCAATTGTGAAAGCAATTTTTTTAGAAGAAATTTTCCTTCAATACAACACAAAGCTCTACAGTATGGTTTTTCTGGTGCTCTAAACTTCATCTAAATTTATCACCAGTTTTGAGGGAACAGGCTGTTAAAGTTAAGACATAATTACTTATATTATCTCCAACTTTAAAATGCAAAGATATACTTTTTCATGTTGAATTCAACTGAGGGAAATATATGCTTTAATAAGAATTTCAATTTGCTATTTCTAAACCATTAGGTTTCTTTTTTTAAAAAAAAATCAAAACTGTTCATCAACTTGTCTATGACCTCAAATTTATTTAACAAATATTCCATCTAATTAATTGTCCAAAGACCTTTAGAGAATGTCTTCACCAAGAAAACATGATATTGGTCTCTCCTCTTCATGCCATTCAAATTCATACACTTTGAGATACTAAATTATTTATCTAAAGCTTTACCCAAATGAGTAGAACTTGAGATTATTTTCCATACATGTGGATTATATTCCATATACATTTTACATGTAAAATATATATTTAAGAGTGAGCCCTAAATGGTTTGGCTCAGTGGATAGAGCACTGGCCTATGGACTGAAGGGTCCTGGGTTCGATTCTGATCAACGGCAAGGGCATGTACCTTGGTTGCAGGCTTGGCATGTGTGGGAGGCAACCAATCGATGTGTCTCTCTTACATCGATGTTTCTCTCTCTGTGTCTCTCCCTTTCCTTTCCGTTCTCTCTAAAAATCAATGGAAAAATATCCTTGGTGAGGATTCACAAAAATTAAAAAAAAAAGTGACCCAAGCCCCTGGAAATCTCAAGTAACAAGAGAAAACAAAACAAAACAACAACAACCACAAAACCAATGGAAAAATAAGCTCATTTAAAGATATTGGCTAAAAATTACTCAGTCATGTCATATGTTTAGCTAATGACATCAAAATCCCCAAGACATATCTGGATAAATCCAGCTTTAAAGTATGGTTTATGATCTTATTTCTTTGATCAAATAATAAGTGTCTGATCACTGGGTTAGGTGGGTGCTGGTATTACAATAATAACCCACAACATGGTGCCATTGTCCGTATGGAGTTTAATTCTAATGAGGATAAGAGACCAGTCAATAATCAATATCCACAAAAATAAGACAGATACTATGATAGAAAATGACAGAAAATCCCTTTATCTGGCCCAGGGTCAAGTGATATTAGAGGAAAGGAGTTCCAAGGAAAATACATAACATTTAAAATACTTTCAACATGAATGAAAACAAATTTTCTGATTAAACGCTCATAATTGAAAATCCACAACAGACTTTCCTGTCTTCACATTTTGGTCAGTTGTATTTTGCTCTATTTATATGCTATAATCTTTTGTTTAAAAAGAAGATAGCATCTATGTTTATGAAAAGGATGGTTGGTCAGTTCTTATACTTTTATACCATGTTTAGAAACAAAAGCTAAGAAAATAAATTCAAACAAACCTTTTGTGTTTCCAGTTCATAAACATCACCACCGACCTCTTAAAAAAATCAATTGATCTTTCTTGCTTACCACTGGCACTTCTTCAATGCAAAACCACACACAAGTTTATCTGCCATGAATTCCCCCCAGGAAGCAAGTGGAAAAGAAGCCGTACTTGAAAGAACTCTTAACTTCCCCCAAGATGACTCCTTTAGATATAGGAGAAACAGAACTTTGTGGGGATGAACTGAACTACTTCCAGATTTCCCAGAGAGAATCCTTACTTGTGACCAGTTCAGCTGCCTTTAGTATTATACAGCCTTTAAATAGCCTCTCTTCTACTTATATTCCTTCTAAATTCACTATTGTTACTCATTTATGAGTACACTGGTATTAGCATAAGTCAATTACTCACTATATTTTTAAAACCACCAACTCCCCACCTCCCTGTTTCCCCCCCTCTGGTATTTTGCAACACTTAAGAACATGAGTAACTATACACAAGAAATGTTGTTTGCCCTTTTTGCTTGTTTATGGTTTAAACAGTAACCATATCCCATTAATAAAATGAGTGCAATTC